TAAATTTTAAAAAAATTTATTGTAAAGGCAAATTATACTTACAATCTATAATATAAATAAATATTTTAGGTTTAAATATGTAAAGAATTAGTGATTATAATTAAAATAAATGTATTCGCAACAACCTCGTATTAGCCAATAGTAGTTTTAGTTATTTTATTAGCTTCGCTAAGTTGTTACGAATAATTATATGACATGTTACAATTAAATTCGTCCTTATAATTACTATATTGATATTTTAAAAATTAAATATAATATAAAATCAAATGTTTGTTGCAAGTGATAGTAATGATAATTTCAATAATAACATAAATTAAAAGTTTTAAGATTTATAATATTAAAGTTGAATTAGGATTGTATTTGAGTTAAATAAAGCATATTTATAAAAATTTTTGTTAAAATACACAAGATAGCTTTATAATTTTTTTAAAAAATGCTCTCTGTATTATCACGAAATTACACCCTGGGCATTATTTCGAGACATTCTTTTTCAGAGGGCTAAGATTCGATTTTGACGGAGTTTTTAAAAAAAGTGTGTTTCAGAATAATGTCCCAGTAGCATTATTTCACGACATACGTATATTGTATAATTTATATTTGATATGTAATCTAATTGGTTGATTTAGATTAATAATTATTATTACTATCAGCAAATAAATTTGCTTTATAATTAAAAGCAAATCAAATTTATGTAATTAAATATTAGGACGATTTTAACATTCACCGGAGATGAAATTCACCAGGCATGCAGTTTCTCAAAAATTGCATAGGTAATCGATATTTGGTATATTAAATAAAATTATTCAACATTATAAAAATCCTATCTTAATAAACCTTATTTTTAAAAATTCGACTATACTTACGTTCTGTAGTTTGATATAAGTAAAAATTTTAATGTCCATATTTTTAGTATTTATTTTATTTATAAATAGCATATACTTACAGTCTAATAATTAGTATAATAAATTTAATTTAATTACTAAACTTCAAGATAATAATAAATATATAATTAAATTTATATTTACCCGCTAATAAATTATTATAAATTTAATGTAAATATTAATAAATTTCAAATATTTTAATTATAAGAAAATTAATTTGATACTTACGAGCTAATGTGTGGTTTGATTTATTATAGAATAAATTTAAAAAATTATATTAATAAAAATTTTATTCGGATTTTTTTAAATTTATAATATGTAATAAAACTATGTTTATAAAATAATATCAACGTGCTAGGTTCATTATTAAATAACGAGGACATAAACTTATTAACGTATTTGACCCGCTATTTAATTAGTTTATAAAACCTCATGCATCGAAACCAAATATACATAAATATTCATGAATACGTATGTAAAATTTTTCTAACGTGCATAACTCCAGAAATTTTAATACATAGATTGTAATAGGCAATATTCAATATTATAAATATATTAATTTTCATAAGAATTACAATTAATAGCATATATTAAAACTCATTTTAAAAAAAATTATACTTACAATCTACAATTTAGTATAAACGAAAAAATTAATATTTTTAAATATCTAATTTATATTGTATGTACTTACATTCTGTAAATCAATATTATAAATTTAATTTTACAAATAATTTCAATATAATATTAAAAATATATAATTAAATTTACACTTACACGCTAATAAATTATCATAAATTAAATATTAATAAAATTTTAAATACTTTAATTATAAATAAATTGATACTTACAAGCTAAAGTTTGATTATTTCAATATAAATACAAAAATTCTATTAATAAAGGTTTTATTCTAAAATTTATAATTAACCATTTTTATAAAATTTTACAAAGAATCCAACATGCAGGATGGATTTTACGATTACATGATGATTAACAATATCCATTGTAGTACCTAAAACTTCGCTTATATAAATTAGTAGAGTTCTTATATGTTATTTGTTTATCCATTTATCTATTGAATATCCAGATATGGATGAATTGGGCTTTAATAAATTAGGGAAATCATTAAGATTGGAATCATACGATTTCTCAGTTGAATTTTCGAGATAATGGCTAATTTCTTTGAAACCAGTATTGTTTATATATTACACACAATTATACTTAATTGTAATTTTACATTGACTAATAATCATGTAATCTTTAAATCTATCCTAAGTAGAAAAGTGATGGCAAAAAAATTTTGTAATCAGGTACAGTAATTGTGACCAATCAACGATCAATGAACTTAACATTAATATAAGCTCAGAAATCAACTAATCCTGAATTTTTTTCTGCCACGATTTTTTCATGCCCAACAAGAAAATTCCAAAAATTTAATATATAGACTAAAATAGCAAATATTATAAATATATTAATTTATAATATTGCTATTAATAATATATAATAATAAATCTTATTTTAAAAAATAAGTTATACATACGACCTATAATTTAATATAAAGAAAATATTAATATCTTATTTTTAAATATTAATTTTAGGGAAATTCTATTTTGACCCGGGTCAAAATAGAATTTCCCTTTATTTTATTACAATTTCTATTTGTACACTGGTGTATGTACACGAGTAATATCAAAGCCAACTGATATCTCAACATTTCGTTATGAAACCATCTTTTCGCTTCTAACAAAAAAAATTTCTTGCGAAATTTTGGTATAAACTATACCTCACCAAATCCCAAGCCCACACTTACCCTAACTATAAGCAATTGTTTAATATTCGGTTGCAAAAAAATTGGGTTGATTGGTATGTTACACGAATTTGAAATTACAGAATTAATAAAATTGATACTAGTGTACCATACACCACGTGTCAATCATAAATTTTCTTATGCTACACCAAAATAACAAGCAGGGGCTAAATTATGAATTTCGGCCTAAATTAAGTTTAATTCGGGTCATTATTTGAAGTAACGCCCATGCTCGTTATTTCGCGAAAATACGGCATATAAAAAATAGTATGTACTTACATTCTATTAATTAGTATAACAAATTTAATTTAATTACAAAAACCTTAATAAACTATTAAATATATATAATTAAATTTATATTTACCCGCTAATAAATTGATATTTATTTAATATAAATATAAATAAATTTAAATATTTAATTATAAATAAATTAAATTTAATACTTACTAGCTAATAATTTAATTTAATGTAAAATAAATTTAAAATTTATATTTATATAAAAGTTTTATCAGGAATGTTTATATTTATAACATATTAAGCTTACTTCAAAAATAATATATACTTACGCTCTATAATTTAATATATAATTATATATAATAATTTTTATAAATCTTATCTTAAAAAATAAATTATACGCACAATCTATAATTTAATATAAATAAATAATATATATTTATGTACTAATTAATATAATTGATTTAATTGTTGAATAGAAATTGGCCATTAAATATATACGTTTAAATTTATATTTACTTACATGTGAATGCTTTAAATATATTTAATAAAAGTATATTAGTATTATTTTAAAAAATAAATATCTAGTCTTATATTATTCATAAATTATATCTATTTTTATTGCACGGCCCACAATGTTCGCCCGTAAACATTTTTGACGATATTTTTAGGGTTTTTATTATGACTAACACCTTGAAAATATCAACAATTATTCCACAAGCAATACGTGACCAGCAAAGCTTTAGTCATAAATGTTATTGGAATAGGAACCGCGAAATGTATCAGATATTCTACGTGCACCATGAACACATGTTTATCACGAATTTACCGTGCTAATCCACAGCAGCCAGTGGAATATCTATTACATATTATAGAATTATTTATTGCTATCACTAAAAGTTTGTAATAAAGATTTTTTAATCTAATTATAAAAATTTATATTTAAAATAGATATAAATGACAATAGTAAAATAAAAAATATATTTTTGATGAATTTTAAAATATATTTTTGAATTAGTAAATTTAAATCAATTATACTTACGCCCTATAAAATTTTTATAATAAATTTTATGTAATATATATAAAATTATTATGAATATTATTATCATGAGTATTATTTAAATGAAAATTACTGCTGGTGTTCAACATTAAATACAATTGTGCTATAAAATTTTAAGGTTGGATGTATCTTAAGACCAAAAGGGAGATTAAATATAATCCAAATTTCAGATTATACAAGGGTTTCAAAGGTTCTTAATTTTTTTTACTTAGTATATTTAATTTTGTTTTTTAGTGTATTTTGGAGATATAGTAATTTTTGTGATCACCAGTAGTGATAAATAGTAAACTCATACTCACGGTCTATTTTAAAAATGTTTATAATAAATTATAAATTCTTATTTAAACATTCGCTTTAAAAATAAATAATTTATACTTACAAACCAAGACTGTAACATATTTATTTGTCAAAAAAACGGTTAACAAATTTGTTGATAATATAGCGGAATAAAATTTACACATACATCAAGCCATAAATAAAGTAACTAAATTAACATGTTTAAAAAAGAATGTTTTAGTAAAAAGTTTCAATTTCAACTTCAAAATAAATACATAATTTTATACTTACTAACTAATTAATCGATATATGTTATTATATTTAGTATATACATTTAAATGTATTGGCCTCAGGATGACTCTCATAATAAATGACCCTGAAAAACTTGAATGCACATTATTGAGTCCTTAAATAAAGAGCATAATTCGATTTTGTTTCACAAGTTTTAAACTTTATATATTCAAAGAATTTTATTTAAGGACAAAAATATTCGTAATTTGGCGCTATCTTGGAGGTAAAAATTCTAGAGCATTTCGGTAGTGTTTTCAGGTAGAATATACAGATGGTTTCATCCATCTAAGGATAGTTGATAAAAATTAATTTCCGAATCAACAATTTTATCAATCACCCAAAATCCGGGAAAGCAATTGTAATTTCTGAAATGCAAGAGACTTCAAAAATTAAATTTAATATTTAAAAGCGTAATTAAGTTTTGTGCAATTAGTTTCGCATATCATCTGTTAATTTATTTATAGTTATACGTAAGAATTGATAATCCAATGTGCAGATAAATATTCCAATAAGCTATGAACCACTGAAGAAGCTCATTATTTACTGAAGTACTTGAACGTAAAAAACTAACTTCAGTAGGCACTAGAATACTTTCGGCAGAATGCTTATTTGATTCCAAGGATTGTATTTCGGGGTCATCTAATAAAAGATCATTCTGAGGCACAATATGTGTTTCTAAATTTCTAAATAAATCTAAAATTTACCTGATAAATTATTGGTCGTTAATATTTGACATAAAAGAGTAAAGGTAAAATATAAATATTGTGTTTACTTGTACACAAATTAAAGTGCAATATTCAATACTACGATGAACAAACCCAAACAATGTTGCCCTAATAATTTGGAAATACGTTAATAATATATAAATTTATATAAAATAAGTGCTATGAAGATTGGGTTCCGTATCATTTCATCACGATCATTTCACAGACATAACATTTTATCGAAAAAAATTCGCTGACATGTTTTATTTCGCCGACCAAAGCTCATTTCACTGACAACTTTTTTTTCATAAATTACCCTAACAGTAACTCTAATTCCAACCTGATCTTAACGGCATTGAGCAGAATTATTTTGTCTATGAAATGAGCTTCGATGAAATAAACTGTCGATGAAATGATTGTATCGGTGAAATAAATGTTGGTGAAGTAAGACATTTTAGCAAATTGTTCTCGGTGAAGTGCTAGGTCTACGTAATGAGTGTCGGTGAAGTGAGCGATACTGTGATGATTGTACTTACAAAAGTGAAAAAGAGCAAAATAAACCACAAAGCACACTGCAAAAAGTTCAAATAAATAATGCTATCTTAAAAATACTAATTTTTTCTAAAAAAAAATAAAAACTATCGCTATACCAGCCAGAACCCATTATCTTCTCTTGATCTTCTCTTGATTAGTATAAAGGTAAATGATGGAACAGAATTAAATTTTATAGAAAATATAATACGACAGGGTGAAACCAGCGCTGAATAGTTACGTTATTGACGCAAACTAACCCTAATTAAGTATAGATTTGCATCAAAAAGTTACGTATCATCTCTGTACCCTTTCATAATATAATTACAGCAACAGGAAATGTCGATGGTACACGACTGAAAGAACAATGTGCAACATCGACGTTTCCTCCTGCAGGAAATTTAAAAATGTACTTTTGATTATCAACTTCAATAAATATCTATGTAGTACGCATACTTTTCTTTATTTCTCTTTGGTTATGAATTCTCAATTTCGTAACACAGCGTCATTAAGTTGATATTTGATAATGTCTAAGTGTTTTCCCCTGCATTGACAAATATTACACGTATTTTTTTTCTTCGGTGCATTTAATACATTTTCAGCTGCTATTATTTGAAAGCGAATGTGTATTTCGATATTTTTATTGCCGCAGTCTATCAAGCCTTGTGATTTGGCTATTTTGTTCAATTTCTGAAAAAAGTTCAAAAATAATAGTTTCGAGTTGCTATCTCAAATATTGGGAATTAAAGAGCTGGATCTCCTATACTAAGAGGCAACACTAATTGGTTTTTATTATATTTATAAGGCAATATTGTTTATGATATTTGTGTATACTAGGGATACTCGTAATACATTATTTGTCCTTCTTATCAATATTAATAAATTCTATATCTATCCGAATGTGCCCCCATCTAGGTATGTACGTATGTATTAGGGTGGAACCTCAAATAGGTTTAATTATAAAATTAAAAGTGAGATTCTAAAAAATTTACGTAAATATCGCATTTATTTTTTGAATTTCTTTTGAATGAAAAATATTCATTAGAAAAAATTTCGAAGATTCTATGTAATTTTTTGTGATAGCTCTAAATAAGTTCCAACTTTTGCCTTCGAGATATTCTCTGTTAATGTATGTACTGTATATGTGTACGTTGTGAATGGAGGCTTCTCCCTCTAATACAAAAATACACCACAACGCTACTAAACCACTCTAACTAAAGAGTTGGGTACGAAACAAAACCTACCCGTAACCTATTTCGGAAATAGCATAATCCGAAACACCGAAACTATAATTCGAAACCTCGAAGCTATGCGACCAATTAGATTACAGGATTTTGTATTACCAAAACAATAGTAAAACTTGGATAACAAATTATTTTACTATGAGAACTAGGCGCTTGAGTTGCTTAAAGGGAGTTCGAAATGATTGCAGTGTGTCAATTGCACTAGTGCATTAAGTATCAGATTTAATTTAATTTGACGCAGTTTTTTTTATTTATATTAACGGCTTGAAAAAGTACAATTGCAACTGTACTAAATTAAAGCCCATTGATTATTATCATTGTAACTATAATATACAAATTAGTAGATGTATTGTTAAATACGATTAACATTGCTTTGATATTGTTGTTATAAACATTTGTAATTTATTGATTAAAGTATATATATCTTTGCTGGTTTTTGATTGCATCTATTACTTAGGATTTAGTCAGTAAGCTTAAGAATATCTATTACATTATAATAATTTATTGGTTAAAATTTGGTTTAATGTAATAAAACTGGTTCGGAATATTATGATTACCAGATCCAAGTACATAGTTGGCTTTCAATTTAAATGTTAATCTATTCTACTGAAGGTATTCTTTCATTTAATAAAAAGCATTATTAAGTTATTCATTGATGCTTAGATTTTTTTCAGGTTAATTTTATTGAAGATTATTGTTAACTTTAAAGATATTATAAGTTAAGAATATTTTACAATACAAAAAAGTATCATAAGATTATTGTAGATTTTTTGTTATAATAATAGTTGTTCAAATTTATTTATTATTATTTTTTCTTAGAAAATAAATGAGGTATAGAAAATTAATCAATATTAAATACTAACATGTTCAAATTTTTCTTAAGATCAAACTGAATAAAAATTAAATAAATTTTTTTTTTAATATTAAGATAAGTACTTGCAATTCAGGTTTTTATTAATAGTATATTTCAACTTTGTGATTGTATTACAATTACTGTGTAAAACTAGTTACTTATATAACTTTAGTTATTACCTAATTTAAGTAGTCCACCTAAAGGTTCTACACTAGTTGTTATACTTAGAACTCACCTGTGAGTCTTCTATTTAAACATTTTGGTTCTTGTATCCAATCACATACTTACTTACAAACTGCATCAGTTTTTATTAGTACAAATATATTATAATCACTAAGTCTTTAGAGCAGTTTATTTATAATGAAAACTTTTAACCTTGTACTAAACCTACTAGAGCTTTCTGTTATCTAATTTTAGCTAATCTGATATTTTACTATAGTTAAAACCAATATTTGCAGTTAGGATAATTCTTAAACTGTTATATTTTTATAAAGTTTATACAATCTTATTACCTTTTTTTACAACCTCATTAATATCTTGTACATTTTTGTAAGCTTTTTTATATTACTAATCTAGTTAGTTTTGTATTATATAATTTTATATTTGGTAGATCCTTTTATCTAAGGTTCTTGTTCATAAGATTATCTGCTTTAGATTTCTTTCTTCAGATCAAGATTTTTACAGATAGTACTATCAAAGATTATACTATCTCTTTACTTAAGATTTTCAAACAGAGTTTCTTATAGAATATATATTTTTTAGATTTATTTATATGTTATTGTATACTTTCAAAGGTGGTCTTAGTACAATCAAAATTATAGAATTACAACTTCAGATACTTCAATCAAGTTGTTAAAATAGAATTATTTTTCTAAATTTTACTGTTAGTAAGATTTGAACACTAGACCTACTGTGTAGTGAATGACAATCTAACTATTATATTAGAATGATTATTCTTAAAATTAAATAATTTAATATTATTAAATTTGAAAAGAAACTATTTGATAATTTTTTAGATATTTAATATAAATATGTTAATTAATTCTAACTAAAAAAAATTATGTTAGCAAAAAAGTCACTTGGTTAACCAGTCTGAGCCTTTTTAAAATTAATTATTTGTCTATAAATTTTTTTTTTCTTTAAGCAGTTATAGTAGTACTTTATTAAACTATTTGTTTCTATATATATAAATAAAGAATATTATTTAACTTATAAGTCTATTATTATCTGGCCATCCAAACAGTACCTAAATGTGACCTGCTGCACTAATTTAGTTAGGACTAGAAATTGACTTATCTGACTCTGTTCTACAATAGAATACTGCTAATCTGAAGATATCTTCTTGTAGAAAAGAGAAAAACAAAAAAAAAGAAAATAATTTTAAAGTTGGGAAAGAGAAAAATGAAAATGGAAAATAAAATAAATCTAACAAAAAGAAAATAAAACTAATCTATAAGAAAAATAAAGAAAGAAATTTGCTAACAGAATAAAACTCTATTCTATATTTGCTGCTTACTATAATGTTTTATATTTTTATAAACTATAGTATTCTCTAAAAACTAGATACTCTTAACCAGAATAAAAACTGTATTCACTTGTAAAACAGAGTTTAAGTTGAGCACTTTTCATATAAAAGAAATCTTTAAATAAGTAGAATACTCTGCCAAGGTTTGAAGTGCACTTAAGCAGTCCAATTTTTCATAAACTCTGTAACTATTTTTTAAAAAATATTATACACATGACCTTAGAATATATGCATATCTTAATATATTTTCAGTTTTTTCAAATTAAATCCTTTTCTTATTTACTTTATATGATTGGCAGACTCATATGTTTGTTGTGTTCCTTATTTGTCATGTTCAAACATATATATAACTGCAAAAGAAAGTAATATACAATGTTGATCTTTTAATAAAGGTAAGTTAAATTTCTACTATTTGAAAAAAAGAAAACAAAAAAAAATGAAAAAGAGGTATATCATTATTGCAAGAATTCAAATTAAGAAGAGTTTTTCTAGTTGTTCTTCTTTTTCTTCTGCTTCTAATATTTTTAACCAGAAAACTGATTTTGTCTCTACTTGCTTCCAGAATATCCTTTCAGTTTGAATACTAAATATGTGAGAGAGTTCACTAGACAAAAAGCTTAATCCAAGGCAAGAACTATACTTCTTAGTATATCACATACTTGAACTTTGTTAACAGCAAGTTTAATTAATATAAAACTAAAAATATTATTCATTTTGGAGTCAAAGTCTTCAATCTACTTTTAGTGCCAACTTAGTTCAGATAACTATTAAAAAAAGTTCTTGATTATTCTCTATAATTTTTTGTATTACTAGTATTTATATTTACTTATATGTAATATACTATAAAAAAAAACTATAAAGAACTTATAGACTGTATTAAAAAATAAAATATTTAGATTTTAAATTAGTTAAAATTAACATTCATTAAAGTATTTATTTATATATAATATACTATAAAAAAATATATATATATTTATAAAACTTATAAAGTGTATTAACAAACAAAATATTTAAATTTATTAAAATTAAGTTTTTTAAAATATTTATTTATATAAATATACTTTAAAAAAAAGAACATATTGATTAATTAACAAAAAAATATTTAGATTAGTTTTTTTTGTTTAAAGACCTGGCCTCAGTCTTTATTGAACAATTTGGTAATATATTAATTAAAATGTTTTACATAAATTATTACAAAGACCTATAGCTAGGACTAATTTATTCTAAGCCTAAAACTCTACTAAAGTAAGCTATCAGACCTCTTTTAGGTTTAGTATTGTTATGTAAAAAATAGATATGTTTGTAGTAGAAAAAATACTCATACATTTTTTATATTTTGTTTTAGCTATTTGATCTGTTACTAAGTGTTCAAATAAGACAACTGTAAGTGTATTTGTTAGCAAATTATTTTGATGCACTGCTTTGCATCTTTCTGTCTATATTTGCTTGTATATATTACTTGATATTTTGTAGAATAGCTTGACAAGTAAGCTTGAAGTAATGCTGCAGCT